CTTGGTTAGTCATAAACAGGTTTATTTATCTATAGTACTATTCAAGAATACTTTTATTTCATTCATGTTTGATTCTTTTAGCATAGTGGTGATACATCACCAGTGTCAGTAACTGAAACTGATGTTATGCCCTTCAAAACTGTTAATACAATTTTCAGTTATTTTGTATTTTTCAATTTAAACTAATATATTTACATTTAAAAACAATTTTTTTAAAAATAGATGTCTTTTTTTATCATCCTGTAATGCAGAAATTATAAAATTTTTTAAAAAAAATATTGGGAAAAATAAAAGGTTTGTTTTTGAACAAATTTAGTATTTTTTTAAGAAAAAATATTTTTTAATATTGCCATATTTATCCTTATGCAAAAATATTATTTATCAGTATTAAAAGCATATTTATATTTAAAGGATTAGGTATTCACTTTTGTTATTCAATGAATTGTGGAGCTTCAAAAATTATAAACCTTTTCCTATTATATTAAATTATTTTCTTTTAATAAGCTATAGTAAATTGTATAAAAAATATGAAATATTTATTGATACACGTAATTATTATGTGCACAATGGTTACACCTATAGAATTTTTACCTTTTACTAAAGTTCAAGGTTTTGGACACTTTAAGACAGTTTTACCCAGTTTAGGACAGTTTTACCCAATTTAAGACAGTAAAACCCACGTGTCCTGTCCAAAACCAGTTTAGGATGTCCAAAACCCCAACCCTGCAAATAATACTTAGCCAAATATTTGGTTTGGTACTTGGCAAAAAATATTCATTACATCCCTAGATTATTATTTTCTAATTAAAAAAGGAACAAAACTTTTACAAAAAGGGCAAGAGGGTGTAGTTACCCATGCAAAGAAAGGGGGCACCCTTCTAAAACCACTTAGGGAGAACACTAGAAATTTATAGTAATTACGACCAAAAAAAATCCAACGCAGGTAATAGTATGCAAGATTCAATATTGCCAATTTATTTATTAATTTTTTTAAAAAGAAAAATAAATTTTTTTCCTAATTTTAAAGTTCTACCAGAGCCAAGGTTGTATGCCTTGCAGGAGCAATTTTAAAATCTGTTCTAGACACAGTCGTAGCTTGACTTAATATATATTCCTCTCCTCCATTTTAAATTAGTTTTAAAATTTTTATATCAATTATAAAGTAAAATGTATGTTGAGTAAATTTAATTCAAATAAACACATATTTTAGATACCTGGAATACAAACATATGACGACCTTCCGGAACTGGTCCAACAAATACACTATCTAGAACTTGATCATGCGCTTCACTTTCAGCAGACCCCACATAGATAATCTTCCATTCTAAATCTGAAATTATTACAACATATTGATAGTAAAGTCTTAGGCTTATTCCATAATATAATTTAATCACATTTTTTTAATAAAGTGCATGTCAAAGTTTGGACAAATAAAAATTACAAAAACACATAGTATTGTAATGTACAATGCTGGGACAGTGCATTTGAACATAAAGAAATTTCTTGAAAGCTGTTCATTTAACTTACACAACAGTTCATAAAAATTTAAGAATTAAATTAAAAAAAAGAAAATTTTCGTTTGACAATCTATATAATAGAAAAAATTTATTGTTCAAATTTAGGTTAGGTACATATTAATTTATTTACTTTAATAGAAAGTTAATTTCACTATAACAATTTTAAAAAAATCATATTTGATTTCGTTTTCAAACATAGATAAGTTTTTGTTCAAGAGTCATTTAAATAGGTAAATCTTTTTTTAAACTTAAAATTCCACGAAAAAATGCGAACTAAAACTTATAATGGATATTGACAATTCAGCCATAAATACTGTAACAAACCTTAAGGTAGGGGTGCACAACCTTTTTCAGTGAAGGGCCACATGCACAGCAGATTGACCAATGAAGGGCTGCATGCCAAAGTGTTTAGACCGACATATTGAAAGCAATTGTTGGCGGTGATTGTTATATAAACATCATTGTTTATATAACACTAAATTCTTTTTGTCGGTTAACCTTGTAATCTCTTTGCAGAAAATACAATACTTTAAGACGTTTAAAATTAGAAAATGCAAAACTGATTACTTAAGAAGGAAAACAGAATTCGAAAATCAGAATCAATTTATCAGAAAAAATTTAGATAAATTGAAATAATTAAAAAACTATGGAAAAATTGCAATTTTTTTTAATCACATTACAAAATACAAAAGTCCATTT